GCTTGTATCTTATTACAACAAAAGCTCCTCTTTCACCTTAAACCCCCAAACTAGCTTTCGAGTTTGCACCAACAAAAAAAGTGACGAACTATTCAACTTCTGTTAAAAGTAATGATGTGGCATTATTTTTTTGAGTCGATCTTGTCTTTTGTTTGCTTTTTGTCGGGTTGTGGATCGGTTACCTTCTAAGCGATGAACAATTCGTATGTAATAATGTCACATCATAGCTTGGTCTTTGAGTTGGAAGGTATATCTTATTCGCCATAGAAGGTTTCAATTGTGTGTTCCTCAAATTGGTGTTGTTGGTGATCCGTTCTTTGGGTAAGTTATTTTGATTCAGGTTATTCTCTGTTATTGTATGTTCATCATTGTAATTGTTCTCTGATTTTGTCTAATTGAGATGACAAAAATTTTTTTATATATAATATTGATATTATTATCAAATATTTGTAACTAGATTAGGATCCGCATTGATACGCGGGTAAACATATTAAAAACTATTAGAGCATCTTTAACTTTAACCCCATTAAAGTGTCTTAACTCATTTTTTTATACTAATTTCATTAAGACCCCTTTCATTAAAGTGTCTTAAAGTTCAATACATAGAACCCATTTCATTAAAGTTTATAAAAATTTATTATATTTTAATTAAAATGGTGTTAAAAACCCATTAAAAGCTCTGCATTAAGGATGCTCTTAATATAAATATTTTAGTTTTAGTTAGTAACCCGCTGAAATACAAACATAGTTTGAAATACTATTTATCTATGGATCTTAAATTATTAGAGATTAATTTATATTTAATTCTCGTGCCGTAGTTCATGTCATGCAGATCCATATATGTAAATAAGTGAAAAAAATATTTTTACCCATTATGAATATATATTAGTTATGTGATAAAATCGTAAAAATATTCAAATATTATAGAGTTAAATTAAACATAAAAAATTCATGTGAATAATCTCATAGAAATCTATATAATATTTTAAAAAATAGTCATCACATATAAATTCATGATTGATAAATGTATATCGTTGATGTCATTGGTTTATTTTTCCAAGATCTATACTCGTCAAACCCTAAACACTCTATGATTTTAATAGCAAATATACTATTATTATTTTTAACCTGTATAAATTTTAATTTTATACAATTTTTTTAACAATGAAAAATACCAATACTGTCATAGGTAAAAGCTTTCATTTTCTTTGTTATATTCTATAAATATGTTGACAAAATAAATATGCTTCTGATTTTTTGTTTTTTTGTTATGATTGTGCATATCTTAAACTTTTAAATTGAGATTTCCATATTCATTCTAATTTTTTTTTTTCAATTTCTATAATATTTTTTACTTTATCATTCATATTTTTATTTTTTTTTTATTTTTAATTTCTCTCTACTTTTTTTATTCTTTTACGATTTATATTCTCTCTATCTTCTTTATTTACTTATGTTTATAATTAGTTTGAACTATTAAAATTTTTATCTAATTAGTTTGGACTATTAGAAATTTTCTTTTTTCTAATTAGTTTGAAGAATAAGAAAATTTTACTTTTTACAATTTGGTTAGTTGCTTAACAATTATTTTGTCCGTTTTCTATTTTGTTTTTTGTTTTTAAATTAATTTTAAGTTTGAACACGTTTCATCATCTGGTTAATAGTAGACACATGTCACGATCTGGTTAATAGTAGACACATGTCACGATCTGATTTGTGAGTCATAAAATACACAAACTTATGTTGACTTGACAAAATTAGGTATAATATTAGTCAACAGTAGATCGGAGTCCAAATCCGGAGACATAGAAAGACGAGGCCCTCCAAGGTTTTAGCATGAGTCCAACAACTTGTTAGGGCACGAGATCCTTGAAGGCCGTAGCCTGAGTCTGGAAATCTAGGAGGGCACGAGATTGCGATAACCTAAGTCTAGAGACCTGACGAGTTAGTATGAGAACTCTAATGGAGACCTATGGCATGAGTCAACCGACTTGTCCCCTCTGAGACTACTGAGAAGTTCTCATCATTTTATGGGGTAGAGTCGGAGGTGAACCTGCTCCTTAGGGCCTAGCTGCATTAGAGCGATACCCGAGCATGACCTTTCGGGAGACTAGGTCACTAATCTTGACAATTGTGATTCTCCTTTCTTTCTTATAAAAAATCTCGCTATCTCCTTCTTTTTTATTATAAAAAACACATAATAAATTATGCAATTGTTTGTCGCATCCGAGATTATGTCTAACATCCCATGAGTACTTTGAGGTAAAGTGAAAGGAAACTAACGACCCCAAACAAAGTGATTATGTTACTCACGCTACAATCTTGGAGGGTCTCGTCTTTCTATTCTCCGGATTTGGACTCCGATCTATAGTTGACTAATATTATACCTAATTTGGCAAAGTCAACATAAGTTTGTGTATTTTATGACTCATTAAAAAGTTAGTATTTATTTTGGCGCAAGTTGGTATTTGTTTTGGTACAAAACGGAGAGTTTGGTATTTAAGTGGCCATTTTTCATAATCTCAAAACGATGTTGTTTTGAGACTTAACGGTTACAATAAACGGAGTTAACATTTTTTTTAAAAACTTTTAAAGTTGACTAATTGTATACCTAATTTTGGCCGAGTCAACACAAGTTTGTGATTTTTATGACTCATTAACAAGTTGGAATTTGTTTTGGCTCAAACCGGATAGTTCGGTATTTAAATGACAGTTTTCCGATAAGATTTAGCTAAACAATATGCTATAAATTGATTTATTAAAAATAGTTGTGGGTTATCCGTACCCGCATACTTAACCGAAACAAATGCTGGTACACTTTTCTAGTTTTGTAGGTTTTGCAATGTGCTTAAATCCGCTGCAGGGCAAACCTTTGAGGACATATTTGACCTCTTTAATGGGTCAAGTTGCATCTTGGATCAGTGTGAAATCACATTGCTAATAAAATTTATCTTCAATTACCTCCATAAGAATGCCAGAACTCGTTGACGTGAAAGAAGAGAAGATTGGATTGAAATGGGAAACAAGTGATACAAAAGAAACCAAACATGGAGAATATAGCAATAGACAAACAAGTAAATCATGAGTTTCTTCTTAATCCTTATTAAGTTGAAACTGCAGCAACAACACGAGTTGTTGTTGTTGACTGAAGTAGAAACTCTTAAGTCAAGTAAGATTGTTGCTGCCTGATGATTCTTGCCCTTCAAACGAACCTCCTCTCTTGACAGTAACATACTTTTCAAAGCTTGGTTCCATTAGATCCGCTTTCTTGGCAGTAGATGTGAATCTAAACTGAGTCGAGTCAGAGCTCAAACTGGTCGTAGAGTTAAGATCCGCCACTGCTTCAACAATGGAGCAAGCCTTTGTAACACATGATGGGAGAAGATTAAACGAAACTGAAGGATCATCGACATTATTACTCTTCCCATGGAAACTCTGAATGTCCTTTAACAACAAGGCCGTGTAATTGTTGTTGTTGTCTTCGTTTGATAGCAACAATGTTTCTGGACAGAAATCGAAATCTCGTGATTTCCTCAAAGATCTGCTTCTGCTTATCACTTGAGGGCTTGAAGCTCTAATCGTCTTCCTCGGATTAGGTTTCGAAGATTCGTTTTCTCTCTTCTTGTTGCAATTGGTGTTACAAGATCCAGTTTTGTCTCCTTTTGACGAGTTTTGATCAATCTCTCCCAATGGATTCCTTCTATACGGTGATTGCTCTGCCTTCCGTGAAGAGCTTCGGCTCAGCGACGGTGGTGGTGGCTGAACGTTACTCGTCGCGGCGGTTCGACAAGCTTCTCCGATGTTTCTCTTAACAGTAATTCGTTTGATTGATGGCTCTCCGTTGCTGCTCTTGCCCGTCGCCGGAACCGTAACAAACTTGCTGGGTCTAATGTTGCTGGAAATTACAGAAATACCACTGTTTGTCTCCGATCGTTTTCCCGGAGATCTGCTCACCCGTCTGCTACCACCGTTTCCTCTTTCCCTGCTCCCTGAGCGGTAACTCTTTGAATCTTCTCTTTCTCTGCTCGGAGTTCGTCTTGGCGAACCATTATTCACTCTCTCCCGGTGCGTCTTCCTCTCGACCTCCACTTGGATCCTCTCGTTCTGGTCAAAATCGAAGCTTCTCTTGGAGCCGGAGTATCTTCTGGTTTTAGCGGCGGAGTTGCTCCGACTCATCTTCCCACATTGTATCAGTATAGCATCGACTTCTTCTTTCGAGCTCATCACAACCGAGTCGATTGATTTCTCCACCGCCGCACAAGCTGGAGATTCCTCTGATCTCTCATGGCTTCTCCTGTGTTTTGTCACGGAAACTTCCTTCGTTGAACCATTTTCTTCTTCTTGATGCAGTTTCTCAGATATTATTATGGTTACGGGTTTGGCTTCTTCTATTGCCGGATTCTCAGGCACCGGTTTCATGGGTTTGTTTGGATCTGGGGATTTAACAACACGAGAGATGCCATTGGAGAGAGAAATCGAAGGAGATTTCTTGCTCAGACAACAACCCATTTGCCAAAGAATATGGAACAAGAGAGAAATTGAACCGGAAAGGAGGCATACATAAACCAGAGCGATTTGAGGGAGAATCTCTTTGTGTACAAGACAAAATAAATTCAAACGTTCAAATTTTGAGAATAATAAATAATACCTTTGTCTTTTTAAAAATGCGATAGTTACTGACACCAATCCTTTTACTTCAGCAAACATTCGGATTGGCCCCTTTTACTTGCCCAAATTAACCTCCTTTTTGAATTGTGCCATCGTGGGGGGGATAAGATTGTAACTTTTCACCAATATTGGGGTCAAATTGAAAATTATTTAGATTGAATGGTGAGAGAGTAACTTTTGAAAATTTCCAATGCAGAGGAAAATGGAGACGTGAAAGAGAGGCACGGCAGTCAATGTCAGTATCTGACCCTTTTTCTCTTTTTGCAAAGCAAAATGGTTTTCTTCGGTTTCTAGTATAAAAGTTTTATATTGTAGTTCCAACGGCTAGTTGCACGTGTGAGGGTTGATAGTTTGGTTACTTAACTAAAATAACCCCTGTTAAC